TGACTCATAATCCAGTAAAAGTATATCATGAAACTAAGGACATAGCTTCTTGATACCTGGGTGTGTCAATCAGTTTCCTGTTCTAGTGTTGATAACATAAATCACCCTATTAATATTATGAAATCAACTAATAATTATATAGAAATATTTCGTAATATATTTTGTAATATTCTAACACCAAACTGTGTAAACTTTACTATTGGTACAAGTGGATTCTAAGGGATTCCACATGATTTAATAAAACCTTTGGCTACTGATCAAGTTTTGAACTTGTTGATGCCACCATCAACATTATACTTGATTGTAAACATCCATTTACAACCAACTAGGTGTTTTTCAGGTAGTAATTCTATTATTTCTAAGTCTCATTCTTTCCTAAAGCTTAGCTTTCCTCCCTGTTTGCAGTTTTCTATTCGAGTACTTTTAATACTTCATGTCTCGTCCTTGGTATCTGTATTTTATCAATATTACTAATAAATATCTAATAAGTTAATGACAGAACTTTGTGAAACAAAATTGTGAATCGAATGATTAATGCATGTTATTTTTTTTGTTTTCTTAAAGTAATAAGTTTATCATTATACATATTATCAAGAGTGATATATGAACTTAGATTACCTGAAGCACTCAGTAATTTTGGATCTAGATTAGATTGGATTTGTGACTCTAATTAGGTAATTGTGACTCTTTCTCTTATTGGTTCTTATTTCTTCTACTATAGACCCGAAGTTCAAGTTTTTCAATGTGATGAGTAGGTTTAGACCCAAGTGTCTCATCTCAATCTATATATTCTGGAGACTAAATAAATTTAGTTAGAGGAGAACGAATATACTCAATGATAAAGCCTTAAAATTGTGATTCTTGTGTATTATTCTCCCCCTGAATACCGATTTTGTAGTATTGTCAATTTTCACAAATGGTGACATTCATAGGATTATAGAACTTTTGAATGACTAATGAATAACATTTATATCCCTTTTGTTTTGATGAATAGCCAACAAAGATACATTTTATTGATTTGGAGTCTAGTTTGTTTTTGTGATAGTTGTGTAAGTGAACAAAGGCTGAACAATCAAAAATTTTGATTGGTAAGGTAGATCGAAGTTAAGTGATAGGAAAGTACTGAAACATAACTCAGTGGGGTATGTGAGACTCAAGGACCTGGTAAAGCATTACATTGATAAGGTAAGTTGCACTTATAATAGTTTCTCTCTCAAAAAAAAAATGGAAATTGAGTTGCAAACATGAAGACCGACTAACTTTCAAAAGATGTCTATTCGTCCTTTTCGCTATGCCATTTTGTTGAGAGGTATTTTAAAGATAAATACCCAACTCTTTTAAAGTATTCTTTTGCATTTTGTCTTCAACACTTATATTTTTGTCTAAAATTGACCAACTTTTTTTTTTTTAGGAATAATCATGTAATTCTTGTATGATCATCTGTAAAAGATCTAAATCATTTAGTACTAGTAATATTGTTGATTCTAGATGGTCACCATACATCACTATGTAGCACAACAAATAGTTTAGAAGATTTGTATGGTATCGTGGGGTATATATAACGAGTATGTTTTGACAATTGAAATACTATACAATGAACTTTTTTGGATTTTTATTTCTGATTAAAGAAAGAACTAATTTTTATAAATATACATAGTTTGGGTGCCCAATCCATAATGACATGGCATAATTATACTAAAATTCTCTAAGTAAGTTGGACTGTCTTGAGACTTGATACATACTGCAATATGGAATTGTCTCTTGAAATATCCATTATCCTTAAAAAGAAATAGCCCGAAGTACTCTTTAGCATTGTCAATTGTCCTCCTCGCATCCAAATCTTTAAATTCACATAAGTTTGAGAAAAAATTAACAATACAGTTATGATCTTGAGTAAGTTTGTTCAATGGTGGGGCTTGTGAATCTATCTTACAAAATACTACCTTTTTTTCTATTTTCTTCTCTTCTTACTTCAAAAAAAATCTCACGAGTACTAAATAAAAGTTTCATTCCAAGTATTCTTATTCGAATTTTATCTAGATTTTTATTTAATTTCATGAGAAATTTGAAAAAAAAAATTATTTTCAAAATTTTCTACATCGTTTTATATTACCTGAACAATTCCACGTAAGTTTCTCAAACACATTAAGCCATTGCCAATGACAGGTGAGCATACCATAGTACTGGGTCATAAATAGATAGCCTTATCGCAAGTTGTGGAGGCTAGATTCAATGATAAAAATTTCTAATGTGATTTTTTTGCGAATAGAACTCCTTAATTGCTTCCCAAATTTTGTGTATTGTTCCATACGATAAAAAATTTTCACCAATATCATTTGTTATGGAGCAATCGTGACATGACCAAATTATCCTTGACTTTCCAAGTTCGGAACTTTTGGTCTTCAATGTTCGGTTGAGTGACTTCTCCAAAGAGGTATTCTTCTCCCTCTTTTATAGATAAATATTTTGACCAATTGAAATCATTGAATATAATTACTTCAGTTTAACTTGTGACTCATGATTAGAATTCAAGTGACCTCCAATTTGGGTTGTTTGATAGAAATAGTTTCATCAAATCAAGATGTGACCTCAAAGAGGTCACTGAATTTTTTTTGTCATTCTATATTTTGTCACTAGTTAGAAAGAAAAAAAAATTCTTTTAGAATTCAAATAGACTACTATGAAACCATGAAAACTTGTAATTAAATTTTTTGTTTACTGAATTTTATTTATGATACTTAATTTACGACAGTTAAATATATATAAGAGAATAATAGAAAGTTTTAATAAGAAACTAAACACAGATCAATCCCATAAAAAAAAGAACTTCCAATTATGGAATCAACTATAATTCTGCTTTATACAAAAATTTCTATGAAAATATAAATCTATATGCGAATTGAACTTCTACAAGAAGTCGGATTCCTATGCATACTAATCATAAATGAGGCTGCAGATACCCAAACCAAATGAAGGCCAGCAGCATGAGAACAGCCACTGCAGTGACTATGAGTTCCTGCTGCTTCATTGGCATCGGCATCGGCTTGGCATTTATACAATGCCCTCAAAGACACTCCATTCCTCTTTGTCACAAACTACTAAAAAAACGAAACAAAAAAAAAAAGACTCAGATCACATGGTTCAATTTGGATGTATACACATCACGCACTACAGCAGGTACGCGAGAAGAACAAGCTAAGGCAACAACAAGCATATACAAGTGAAATGCATAAATTTCAACATGAATTTGGAAGAGAATAAGGCCTAAAAGAATACATTCATAAAATGTAAAGTAAAATAAAATATAAACTAAAATCTTAAGAAACTTCTAGTCAAAAATTTTCTTTTAATCTTTATTGCAGTTCACACCTTTCATGCTTACACCTTTCATTACATTCTCAATTGCCATCCCAAAGATCCCGAAATCAGAGATCTATCATTATTCATGTTCTTAATTCCAACTGAAATAAAATCAAAATTCCCTATAATTAGACTCATAGGTAATTAGACTCATAGGAAAAGTAAAAGAAGATACATGGAGGGAATATAACCTCCGGATTCCAGCACACATGCAACAACAAAGTGGGGGAAATAGATTTTCAGACTGAGATTCCATAGTTACTGATTTTGTTGACTTCCTTGGTCAAAGCATTCCTTTCTCGCGTTGCTTCAGAAGCAAGCCTTGAAACCTGACAAATAAAACAATCCAACTTAAGCTACTTTTCCCTGAAGAATAATATAGATGATGTTTGGATAGGCTTATATTATTGGAGCCTTAATTTTATAGGCCTTTCCAGTTTTAGAAGACTTTAAGATGCTATCTTATCCTCTATTTTTGTATTTTCTCTGCTTTTTTCTTCAATAATATTATTTCTACCAAACAGACTTCAATAGGCTTTAGTTCCAACGAACTTTAAGCTCAGTATTTTAAGCACAGAACCTGACTTTTTTTCAGTCTTGTACTCTAGTAAGCCAGAAAACACTTATCAAAATTTAGCATTTTAAGTTAAAAACTAAACTGATCAAAGTGGACCATTAATTGCCCTTTTAATTGAAAGGTACTCAAATGTATTTTTATGCTAATAACACTACAAATTAATTTCAAATAAAATTTATCAACATAATAATAATCAATTTTTTTGTTAAAAAATTTTATTGTTTGAGATGTTTATTAATTTTTGTATAAAGATTAATTATATTTACTGTAAAAAAAATAAATTTATCAAATAAGATTTGGATATGTAATATTTTGGTTAGTTAGGAGGCATTTTGGTGAAAAGTATTGGCCAAAGAGCTTATTTTCCCCAACTTACAGCTCTAAAAAAAGTGGTCCTTGTGGTTTTTTTGGGGCTAAAAGCTATAGAGCTTTTAGCATTTTCAAGGATGATACAAAAATTTATAGCTTACAAATATATATATATATATGCTTCAAGCCCCTTTGAGCACTGAGTAAGTCAATTTAAATATCCTTGTAATTGATTATCCATATTCACTATTCTGCTTACGCTAAATGAAAATTTTTCTGGAAAAGCTAAAGAGTTCTTAGTCTATTAATATTGTTGGAAAAAAATTTAACCTTTATGATAATTGTTGTGCATCATAAACTTTTGCAATTTCTAGCTATTCAACATAAAGGTGTACGCATATATACTAGTAGCATTTAGGTACACGTATTATCAGTAGTTGGTACTCATATTCATGTATTTGATAATCAACCTCACCTATATATAAGGCTAATTGATAGCAAAAATATTTTTACTCTCTAGTATTGAGATTGAAATTTAAATTCTATGTGCGTACTAATATTGGCACCAAGGGAGTGCCTAACCATTAACAAAAGATTTACAAAACAATCAAATTAGCAAGAATGTTCCCTAACTTCTCTAAAGAATGAAGAGAGTGACCCAACAACAAAAAATCAATGGTATGGAACTATCTATTCTTAAGTAAATCAAACCCATCATCATCAACCCCATTAAACACGCTTTTGTTCTTCTCATTCCACACAACCCAAAAAACTGTAAGCAGAATTATTTCTGCTTATTTCCTCTTACCACCCAAACCTTTCCATGCCCAAATTTCATCTCTTACTTAACCTGATACAACCCAATTGATACCTAGAAGGTTACAGAACCTAGTCCATAGTTTATAAACCACTGGACACCAGAGCAAAACATGGTTACAAGTCTTTTCTGTCCCTTGCAGAAGTTACAGGCATTCACCATGATCTTAGCCCTTCTTCTGAGTTTATCAATAGTCAAAATATATTCCCTGCTAGTCTCCTATGCAAAAAAAAAAAAAAGAAATATAAGGTGGAACTCTAGCCTTCCAAATATGTTTGTTTGGGAGAGAATACCTAATGCCATCATGCTTGAAGAGTTGTCTATAAAAAGACTTCACTGTGAAAGACTCATTCTTAGTATGGATCCACAATGGAATATCATTGTTACCATACAGCTAACATGGGAAAGAATTCCTAGTAAGTACTCATACTCCCCAATCTCCCAGTCATTCAAATTTCTCTGCATTAACACTTGCCATTCTAGTGCACCTCCTCCACTCTCCACAATTGCATCACAAATCTTGACCTGTTTTTGTTGAGCAATGGCATAAATCTAGAAAACTGCTCCAGCCACAGTGAAAAATGGGCAAAGAAGACTTTGGAGGTCCACCCACAGTCTGATCCTTTTTTTTTTTTAAATAAGTGTAAGATATGTATTGAAGTCAGAGTGCCAAGGGGTACCGCCCATGTACAAAAAATTTACATGTCGATTAGCATATCAACAATGAACCCTAGATTTTCTAAACAGTCAATGTTATGCTCCAAAACAACAGAGCCAAAATAATGAAACCAATTATCTATGATGTTGCTAAAGTCTACTTCTTTCCTTTCAAAAGCACGGTTGTTTCTCTATTTCCAAATGACTCAAAAAATAGTAAGAGGAATGAGTCTGATATTTTTCCTCTTTCTGCTAATGCCTTCCCAAGCAAGGAGCTCAGAAATGATTGATTCATTCTTGACCCAAGATAGGCCCAATAGACGGAGAACAGAAGACCAAAGCTCATGTGAGATAGAGCATTCAAGGAGAAAGTGGTTGCAAGATTCAAGACTGTTTTTGCATAGGAAACATCTGTTGACGGTTGTGACACCTCTTCCCACAGTCTGATCCTATCCCGCTTCCCAACTTCCACCTGATCATCTGCCAGTCAAACCTACCAAGACCAATCTTTTTCCAGAGGCCTTTACCACAAGGTCTTGAGCCTAATCTGGTGAACCATCCTCTCTCATCCATGTCATATTTTGTTGCAATCACTCTTCTCCATAGAGCATCGTTTTCAGTCAAGAATCTCCATGACCATGTACCCTACAATGTCTCATTCATTTCTGCCAAGGACCGTAAACCCAAACCACCAAGGGCAAGTGGTTTTTTGACTCCACTCCATACAACCAAGTGATACTTCTTGTAACCCTCCATACCACCCCAGAGAAATCTGCACTGAATGGCCTCTAGTTTTTTGGTCACGTTCACTGGGATAGTTAATTATGACATGAAGTAAATCAAAAAGTTGCTCAATGTGCTCTTAATTAGCGTAAATCTTTCCCCCTTAGAAAGAAGGGCTCTCTTCCAGCTGGCCAGTCTCTTTTCGAACCTCTCCATTACCAGTTCCCACATCCTCGCCTCTTTAAGGTTAGCACCTAGAGGTAGACCTAAGTACTTAATCAGCAAACACAAAAGTCTACAGTCTAAAGCACTCACCAAATCCTCTGAGGTTGTTGCCAAACCCAATCTCACCATTTCTGATGTTGCTAGATTGATACTAAGCCCAGACACTGCTTGAAAATCCATCAAAACACACCTTATATAAGCATGTCTCTCCTCTCAGGTTCACAGAAAAGCATAGTATCATCGACAAAGAACAAGTGAATGATCTCCTTGTTCTGCCCTCCCGCACCAAACTTCAAGCCTCTGAATAGCCCATACACCCGAGCTCTTATAATCATTTTGCTCAATGCTTCCATTACCACAATGAAAAGTAATGATGATAAGGGGTCTCCCTATCTCAACCCTCTTGATGTCTAGAAAAAAGTCAATGCTCCTCCATTCACAATCACTGCAAAAGAAGGAGAAGCAATACACGCTCTTACCCATCTCCACTTCACCCCCTCAATATCTCTAACATGTAATCAACAAAGTCCCAACTCACATGATCATGTCTTCTCCAGTATTGAGATCCAAAAATACTTAGTTCTTATAGGTTAATTCAAAATCTTAAGGGAACGGGACCAAACTAAGCTAAGCTATTCCCTGGAGATAGAGTTCCTAAACCTCTTGCACCGTGGGAGGGATCCTACCATCTTCAGAAAGCGCAGCCTTCTGGCTTTTAACAAATATATTTACTTACCTTCACTATAATCAAAAGAAAATCTATTGTTCCTCTGTTAAGTTCCTTCTTTATACGATTATCATATTCGAGCAATATTTAATTATGGGCTGATCATTCTAGTCAAACTGCACTAAGGACAAATTTATGCATACATCACTTCTATCAGATTTTCAGCGCCAATTATATAGTGCAAGATGTGCGATGGTTTCCTCATTCATCTCCAAATTTCCATGGAATATGATCAGAAGCCAATAGCACTTTAATAGATTTGTATTCTTGCCATAGCATGGCTCTTTTCCCCACCAAAATCCACATCCAAAAACCATGATTTATTGGAGACCAAGTACTAACAGAACAGCTAGGTCTAGAAACAATTTCTGTGCTTTCAGGTCTAAACTTGAATTCATAAACATCTCATACTAACAGATAGTTAAAATTTTTAAGAGCTCCAATTCTGGGTTAATATCCTCCAGAACCTTCCCTCAAACCAAGCTAGGAAGAGAAGACTTACTTGTGACCGAAATCGTGATGCTTCTCTCCTAGGAAGTTCTCCAATGATATCTTTTAAGCCTGATAATAGAACAAATCAATATAATATGAGCACTAAATTTAATCCTTTAGTCCAATACGAGCAATAATATTAGAGAAGCAACGGAGAAATACCTGCTGCTTGTCTTTCAATCTTATAAGCAGAGTTAATTGCACCTTGGATCTGCTTACCTGCTTGCCTATAAAAGAGCGGAAACAGTCTGAATTAGAGAATCATTCACAAGAGAGCATCATTCACAAGAGAGCAGAAGAGAAAGCTTATATCGCTTTTCATCTAAGATAACAAACCTTAGTTTCATCCTCCCTCTAACCAACTCCTCTTCTGCCACTGATGCGCTTCTCTGGAAAAAGTCATTGCATATGGTGAATAGCAATCCAACATGAGTAGCAACTACAAGTTACTGAAGGAGCAGGCAACAATAATTTAAAACTATGTACACCAGGTTTTCAAACTAGGCAAACATGCCAACGTATTAGAAACAGCATCATAAGGTTTTTAAAGACCTAAGCTTCCTGGTGAACGATGCTACTTTCTTTTAATCAGTTTTCTCATGAAATACGCTTCTTTTTGAGCCTGTCAGACCTTGTTGTTTAGGCCAATAATATTTACAGTCAGACAAAACCAAAGAAAGGAAAAGAATTGATGTTATCAATTAAACCTTCGATGTCAATTTCAGGGGACTTGAAGAAATCTAACATGAAGGACCTTTTTGATAATTTTCACTAATTTGTATCTAATAAGAATCTAATATACAAGATTATCATCTGAAAACAACAATGGAAGTTAGAGCTCATGTCATAACAATCTCATTGGTTTAAAATTATTGACTACATCAAAGAAAGTAGAAAATTATCAGTATACATTTCCAGAACCAGTTTAAAAACTCTATCAAAGTATTTGAGATTGCTTATATGCTGCGCATAAGCAACTTTAAACTCCAATATTCAAGTCTGGTAATGTAAAAACAGGATGTGCTTATGAAGTTAAAGAATTTAAGAAGTTACAAAATAAGCAACTTTAAACTTCAATATTCAAGTCTTCTAATGTTAAAACAGGATGTGCTTGTTAAGTTAAAGAATTTAAGAAGTTATAAAATAAGCATTGTATTCCTAACATTTTATGTTTTTCTTTTTCATCCAACTAATTTATTTAATTACATTTATGATATTTTCTTGATATTAATCATATATATCTAAAATAATATAATATTATTTTGTAACGGATGTACATATATTTATTAATTTTCTTATTATTATTATTTTTTACAATCAGCATTTTAAACAAATTAGCGACTGCTTGTAAGTAACTGCTTGTTTTTTAGATAAAATTTATTTATACTAAGTAATTGAGATCACCTTGCTATTTTAAGCACATTTTTTTCAGCAATACCAAACATTCTCTAAATTTGAAACAAGAAAATTACTAGGATACAAATTGAAAGAAAGAATTGATGCATTAAAATAACAAGTCACTTGTTTATAAGTCATTTGAATGATATGTTCCGTCAAAGGGCTACCTCCAATTTATCACTTTCTGCCTTCAGGCGGTCAATTGATTGTCGCAACTCCTTTACTTTAATATCAGCTTTCGATAGCAGGGCCTGAAACCAGAAATAGTCTTGAGGTAGATATCAGTATTTTCCTTCAAAAAAGAGTAGACATCTTACTGGAAAAAACTGAGCCTGCTACAGCTTGAACAAGTATTCAAGGAATCTTGAAAAAACCTGGCTGGCTTCTGTGACTATCATATGACATCTAAGAAACAACTTCCCTTTCTTTTAAAAAGGACGGACTGCCTCTCATTGGCATTTAATAAAATTCAAATAAACGGATGATACTCCAAGTCCATCAATCATGTAATACAACACAGTGAAGAAAATACAAAAGATTTTGGAAGGAGATTCCATGATTGTAATTAGGCCATTTGCAAGTCTGTTCGTGAACTCTTAAGAGCTAATAACTTCTGGCTTAGGCACAGTTACAAACTTAGACCCAAGCATTATACATAAACCTTCAAAGGCATAATTCCCTGAAGTGCTTGCTATAGATATTTCATTTGGCGTATAGGATGCCCATTAGGCCTATCAGCTGTATAACGGATATCCTCTCCTTTCCTTGAACCTTTTATTCTCTAGTACAAGTGGTATATGATTATAAGTATTTTTGTACCACAAACAAATGAATTTACCACTAAGTTACTTGACATCAACACTATAAGCTACCATCAACACTTGCTATAAGATCTGTTTTTAACCCAGCTAAAAAATAACCTGCTAAAAAGTCTTAAGACAATTATAAGCAGGGAGAGCTCATGGTTTCATCCAAGGTACATGTGTCCATAGTAGAGAGACATCACGCATGCCCCTTCAAAATGAAGAGGATTTGACTTCCTATAAAATCCCATGAAAAATCTTCACCAAGTTAGCATACGAAAAATAGTCTTTCCTTCCAACAATAAAATGATGTCGATTCATGATCGTACTCATGGATTTTGGAAAGACAGGAATATGGAAGGTTACCAAACAATGCCATAAAATAGAGAAAGACATTTCTCTCAATTCCACTTAAAAAATGCAATGCCATATCCATACAACTAACCAAAAACTCAAACAAACCTTTGCTTTAAGCCTAATTTCACATCCTCTTACTGCAGCCCCTAGTACAAGTTCATAATTCCAATAAAAACTCATCCACTCTATCTTTATTATCACGTTCCACATTCACGTAAAAATACAATCCTCTCTAAAAGCATAGCTTGTAATTGCGCTTCTTTTTATCTAACTCCAAATATGATTCAAATAATTTGAACATCTCAAAACAAAATTAACTGTTAGATATTTAAATTGACTGTCAAACTGCTCTACATAAAAATAGACATAAAACCCAGATCATATATCATGAAAAGCAATTGAATGAAAGGCAAAACAAATTAAAATGTCCATAGATATGATTCACCTCTTCACTAATGAACATCTGCATAGTGCTGTAGTACAAGAAACGCCTTGTCCCTGCATTAGAATGAATTGTGACAAGAACAAGCAATAAAAAGTCATGAACCAAAAAAAAAGCAGCTGGGATCAGAATGCACAGAGTGCCGATTGTAGTATAAATTCCTATAATGCATGAGACAGAATATTTATCCACCGCCCTAGTCATGCTAAAAAACAGAGTGAGAATGCAAACAGCAAATGTTTTGAATATGTAAAAGGTGAACATACTTGGGACTTGTTTAATTTATGATACTAAATCAAACAGCAGGTCAGGACTATGCATAAATGATATAGAGAAGAAAAGGGCATTTGTGATCCATACACAAATCAGTATTAGGAATGGTAACAAAAACATGGATTCCTTAGAGAAGTACTTTTTAAAGAAAGAAATCTCAAACCAAATGCAACCCCGCCTGTAATCAATGGGTGCGAAACTGCAACGTTTATACCCTCTGCCAAAAAAAAAAAAAAAGAAAAATCAGAAGTTAAAAAAAAAAAAGAAAAAAATCGAAATAATAATAATACACTGCCTATCAGCAGCAAGCTTCAGGTACAGTGGTCGACAAGAACAAACCTTTAACCTTCCCAAAGACTATGCGCTCGTAAACACCATACTCAGATGTTAAGTCTCGCATAGAATCCTATATTCAAATATTCACTAAATTAAATTTATGAAAGGGAGCTAAGCCAAAAATAGAGCTACAAAAAAGACAAAACAAAAAGAATCTATGCGCTTGGCCGAAAAATATAAATAAAATTCGGAGATTATGACAAATTTTACTATATATCAATGACGCCTGAGCTAAATCAGGCTCAAATATAAACTCATCAACGCCAATTCTTTTTCATTCTATCCTCTCAGCTCACAAGCAGCCTAATGAAATCGAACGAGAACTTAGAATCTTACGATGCTTTGTTGGAAATGAGCCGAAGAAGTAGAGCGAATTTCGGAAAAACGAGATCCGCACGCTTCAATAGCAGACTCCATGGTCTCTTTGAAAGTCCTCTGGTAAAGCAGAGCCTGTTGGACTGCATGGTCAATCCAGGGAAGGGCATCTTCTAGGGTTTTCGATTCAATATTTGTGCGGTAATCAATTGGAAATATTTGTGGTGGTGGTGGCGGTGGTGGTGGTGGTGGTGGTGAGGCATTCAGCTTCTCTTCTGATGATGCTGTTTCCCCCGCCATTAGAAATACAAAGCAATTTTTGTTTCTTCAGTCAGGTACGTTCTTTGCGTGACAGTGTATGCGTGTCTTATTTGTCAGGTCTTCAAAACCCGTTAGTTGCAAGAATCCATGCTTTCCAACTCCAGCCATTCCTCCCCAAGCTTGGTGTAGGTAAGACATGACCCGCGGTTCGGTAGAAAGAAAAAACCGGTTCGTGATCAAATTTTAAAAGACCGTTCAATCCCAAAAAGGACGACCTGCTTTGATTGGGTCAAATTAGTGATGGCATGGAGCCAACGTTTAAAACGGATTTCAAAAAATCCAAAGCTAACTCGTAATCATAATACATCAACCTGAATCCACCTCGGCTGTTGATAATGATTCAAAATCAGTTAGCTAAGTGAATGGACCAAAGTTAGTTTGTATAAGTTTGTTATTAATTTGCTAATATCATATTTGTATATGCAATAGATTGTCCTGAATGTTAGTTTCTATAAGTTTGTTATTACTAGCTAATAACATATTTACATATGCATCATATTTTACTGCATGCCTTTTATTTTGTTAATTATTTGTACAACCTATACAAAAGCTCCTCGCTTTACTCAAGTGGTGAATAAAAAATTGACTCATTTCTCACTTTACTTTATTTCCAACTAGCATATTTGGTAGAAGAGCCATTATTTTGTGTTATTGAGATAGTATAAAATAAAAAGCAAAGTGTACCACTAGAGTGGTTCACACAAACTTAAAAAAAAAAAAATAGCGGTCAATGGTACAACAACCTTATCTCAACCTTTAATTCCTCTATTCAAGGATGAGAGCAATGAATTTTGGAGCACAAAAATGATAACTTTGTTTATATCTCAAGAATTATGGAAGCTAGTGAAATTGGTACTATACCCCAGACGATGAGCAAAGGCTTTAAGAAAACAAAAAAAAAAATAAGGATGCAAAGAACACATATGATATTTTCTCTCAAATTTCTGCAATGACTACTTCTAAAAAAGTTTGACAAACTCTTAAACAGAATTTCAATGGTCATCAAAGGTAATTACTGTCAAACTTCAATTGCTTAGTAAAACCTTTGAAATGCTTTAAATGGGTACCTCCAAATCTGTTCAAATATTTTTACCGACGACTTCTGTAATTATTGCTCAAATGAGAGCATATGATGAGAAAATTACTGATGAGACTGGTTTTAAAATTATTGAGGAGTTTGCTCCTAAATTTGATCATGTGGTTGCTGCAATAAAGAAATCTAAAGATTAATCAAATTATTCATTTGATGATATTAAAATGAGTTCTTTGCAAGCTCATGAGGACTTGTTAAACAGATCATTACCAAAAAATGAAGAAAATGTTTTCCAAGTGAAATGAGAGCCTTTTCACTAAATCAGATGACAAAGCCTCAAATAGAGCTAGTTCTCATGGTGATTATCGCGGTAGAGTTCGCAATGGAAATCGAGGACAAAGAGGACGAGCTAGCAAATAAGGACAATTCAAGCATAATCATAGTCAGATTAAGTTCTATTATCGTGAAAAATTGAGTCACAAAGAGCCTAATTGTTGGACTAAACAACGAGATCAACGGAAGCACGCTAGTGTTGCAAAAGAAGAAAAAAGTATGTTGTTCATGGCTCACTTTTTTTATAAAAATATTGTTGATGTTGTTTGATTTGTGGATAGTAGATGTTCAAATCACATGTCAGGTTTAAAGTCATTATTTAAAGAACTTAATAAGGCAGAAAAGTCAACAGTTTGGCTGGGTGATGACAAGGTGATTAAGGTTAAAGGGAAATGTACAATTGCCATCAAAACAAACCATGGTAACACTAAACTTTTAACTTATGTGCAATTTGTTCCTAGTTTGTCTTGTAATATCTTAAGTGTTGGATAATTGATGAATAGTAGCACAAAACCTTGTTTGATAAAGACTCATATAGTGTTAAAGATCAGAAATAAGGTCATCACATAATTAATGTTCTGATGGCACAAAATAAAATGTTTCCTTTTGAAGTTTTTCAAGTTAATGATTCTGCCTTTATTGCTAACAAAATTAGTGAATCTAGATTCTAGCATTTATGTCATAGGCATCTGAATGAGAATGTATTGAAGTTGTTAAGTAAAAAAAATATGGTTAATGGATTACCTAAGATTGAATCTTTTGAATTTTGTGATGTAAGGAATTTAAAATCTGAATTCAAAATACTCATATCAAATCATTGAGATTTAGTTTGAATTAAAAGCATACATGAATCTATGATGGAAGAGAACAACACATCATGCGATTGATTTTCCAAATTAGCACATAAATCACTTAGAGTTCTCACTCTTTTTATTTCTAATGATGATATGTTAAAATAGAAAAATCCTTACATGTAATTTAGGGACCATAACTGCATATTTATAGTCTTAATTTTCATTATTCTTAATCTGACATATCATAAAATTAGAAATGTTACTTTGATCTCTCCACATAAAAGTGCACACTTTAATTTAATGCATTAAAGCCCAAAATACACTTCACCTTATCTGATCACTTTAAATGAGTTCAGTTAGTTTGATAGTCTTTTATACACAATAATTTTCACATAAGCTATATGGTCAATTAAAACCTAACAATCTCCCACTTTGGCTATATGTGTCACCTCATCATTATGCATTAAATAACTTTATGAGTACTTATAATTTTACTATCATTACCTGAATAGATCCCTAAATAATTCATTCCATTAATCATATTAACATAGGATCAAAGTAGTCTCCCTATATCTGTCATAACTAATTCATCAACGATCACATATATCAATATAACCGAATGACATGGATTAAGATTGGATATGTAGCATGAGAATTGCATGCAATATGATACAAACATGTCTTTTTCCAACTGGTCCTACCTTAAATCTTAATGAGATCAATTTTAAGCAAGTTCAAAGACAAAATAAATCAAACTCTTTATAACTGAAATATAATAACCAAATGTATATAAGCCATATACAATATTTAACATAATACATGTTTAAATCTTAAAAGCAACTAAAGTACAAACTCTCACTAAAACTACATATTCACAAGAGATATAACACTCATATGAATAATGTGCTTGTGAAAGACCTTAGGTGGTAATCCCTCAGTGAACGAATCTATAATCATGGAGTTTGTCCCGATGTGCTCTATAGATATATATGTCTACTTTGAATTCTTTAGTTAACGACTAGGTATTTGATATCCATTTATTTTGACTTCGTTGAGCTCCTATTGTTATTAGAATACATAACTCTAGACTTATTGTTACAAAATAACTCGAGTTGTCTTTCTATACCATCCATAATGTATAGTTTTATGATAAAATTTTGCAGCCATATTCCATGATTGGATGCCTCATAACACATTATAAACTCTATTATCATGGTGGAAGAAACTATGAGTGTTTGTTTAGCACTCTTTTAGGAAACAGTTTCCCAGCAAATAAATGGATATTGCCTGATGTGGATCTTCTATTGTCTTAGCATCCAAAAAAATCAGAATTAAAATAATTAATTATCTCCAACTGATCCAATCTCCTGTATATGAGCATGTAATTTTTATTCTCTGTAAATACTACATGACTCATTTGATTGTTTTTCAATTATTTATTCCTAGATTGCTTAAATATCTCCCTAGCATCCCAATAATATATGCAATATCCAAACACGTACAAACTTGAGCATACATAAAACTCTTGACAACTGAAACATAAAGAATCTTTTACATTTCTTTACTTTCGAAGTTATTCTTGGAGTATTGACTTAAACTGAACTTATCTCGTGTCACCTGGTTTATAATTTTGTATGTCAAATCTCTTTAGAATATTTTTGATATAGTTCTTTTGTGATAATTTAAGAATACCTCGAGAGCAATCCTGATATATCTGAATTCCTAAAAGAGAATAGGCATCCTCAAGATCTTTTATTTCAAATTTCTTTGTCAAAATCTCTTGATTTTATTCAATACACCTACATGATTATTGACAAGCAGTATGTTATTAATATATATAACCAGAAAAATGTGTTTAATCCCATTGAATTTATAGTATCCACAATCATCCACCACATTCATCTCAAAACTAAACGAGATGACAACTTGATGAAATTTATGATACCATTGATGGGAAGCCTACTTGAGTCCATAAATGGATTTCTTTAATTTGTAAACAATTTGTATTGTATCACTTGATGCAAAGTTTCTAGTTGCACCATAAAAATCATCTCATTAATATCACCATTTAAAAACACGATCTTAACATCCATCTAATACAACTCAATATCAAAATACACCATTGAAGCCACTATTATCCTGAAAGAGTCTTTTGAATAAATTAGAGAGAAAGTTTATTTACAATCGATGCATTCTTTCTATGTGAAGCCTTTAGCGATAAGACGTACCTTATACCTCTCCATATCGCTTTTTGAATCCCTTTTGATCTTAAATATTTATTTGCAACCAATATATTCATACCTTCAAGCGATGGGACAAGATCTTATACGTCATTGTCCTTTGTAGACTTAATCTCCTCATTCATAACATTAATCCACTTTTAAGAGTTAGAACTTTCTATTACTTGACGAAAGTTAATTTGATCTTCCATCATTCCAATGTCAACCTTATATTGTTGGAGAAATATAATGTAATTATCCAAAATTGCATTTTTCCTCTCTTTAGTAGATCTTCTTAATGGAATTAGTTTTTGAGGTTGTGGAGTTTGCCCTTATGAAACAACTTCTTGAATATGCACGATAGGTATTATGCCATTGTTTTAATCTGGAATTGCTTCTTAAGCAATGTCATGTATAAGAGTCTGATCCTAATCATTGTCAATAGTAGTCGAGTGAATATCAATACATTCCTCTTCAAAGATAAGGTCTCGAACTCTTCCCCCCTGCAAACTCAACACCTCAAGGAACTGAGAATTTACTGCCTCAAAAATTGACTTGGTCATGGGATCATAAAATTTGTAACCATTGGATCTTTTAAAGTATCCAATAAAATAGCAACTGACAATTCTTGAGTCCAGTTTCTTTTCATTCTGCCTATAAGGCCTTACATCAGTTGGACATCCCAAATATATAAATACTTTAAACTATACTTTTTGCCCATCCAAAGT